CGTTCAGTGAACCCGAGAAAGCGCAGTTGTTCTCCAAACTGTTTGCAGGACTGTCGCAACCGGAGGAGGGTGGCGGCGAGGCCGCATCCGGAGCGCTAGTCTCGGAGAAGCTCGTAAGGGCGATGCAGAGGACGGGGGAGTTGTGTCCGCGACAAGTGTACATCTAAAGTTTGCGTCGAAGAGAGGAGAACAAATGAGAGTTTAATGTACTACGTACCAAAATATAAATGAGAAATTGAACAGACGATAGCCAATCCCAACGAGATGGCGGCCCGCAGCGACCACTCATTAGGGCAAAGTTGTGATTTTAAGCCAGTTTTAAAGGTAAATCGTTTCTGACATTTACTGTACAGTTTGTGATGGACTGTAGAGCCAATCTTGAGAACTAATGTAAAGTAGGTTTCCCTTCCTTCAAAATACTATACTTATTTATTTAACAGACATAGTGAGCAATTGGATGGTAAAATGCTGGATGACGGTATGTGGGGTTTAAATTCTAGGCCGTTGGCTGAAGAAGGTCAGAAGTGAAACACCCCTGCAAATTATTTTTTCAAAACCGAATGTGCTGCTAGCTTTTGTATAAAGGGTTCACAAAAAAATATACTCCCAACACTAGAGCCGCCCAGGCGCTAAAGCCAGCGATCTGACTAGCTGTCTCCTATGTGAAGGATGTATATGGTCTCGTCAAAAGATATATGGAAACATTCGGGTACTTTGCGCGTCCAGCTAGTATACTATAAGAAAATGGTTGGCTACTCAGATAGAGATGTCAACAAAACTCACATGCCAGTGATGATGCAGTTCACTGTGGCCAAATTGTACAAGCCCGTGTGAATGAACACCTGCCCAGGCCCCGGTGCAATACCGGCCACGTTGTTGAAGGAGCTAGCTTCTGAAATGGCCAAGCCGCAAGCCTTACTATTCTAGGCGTCATTTGATACCGGGTGCCTATCCTGTGATTGGAAGTCCACAACGATTACTCTGCTATTCAAGAATGGAAGCTGAGCATCTGCGAATAAGTACAGGCCGGTGGGTTTGACTCCTATTTTTTGCAAAACCATTGAGAAAATCATTAATCAGGCGTTGATGCAGTTGCTCGAGTAGAATCAGCTCCTTCCTAATGCCCAATACGGCTATCCCAGTGATAGGTCCTGTCTTACGAATATGTTCTTCTAACTTGAACGCTGGACCAAAGCAAGTGACAAGGGCAAAATGGTGAATGCCATCTACACTTATTTCAAAAAGGCCTTCAACAGCGTCCCTCACAAACGTCACCTGCATGTAATGCGCAACGCAGGAGTTCGTGGAACCCCTTCGCATGGATCCAAAACTTGTTGACCATACGGTTCCAAAAAGCAGGATTTGGTAGAGTGTTGGTTGTACTGAAGCCTTCCCTTGTTGACATGGGTTCGAATCCCAGCGAGACCACGAATTTTAAATAATTGGGTCAATTGGATTTCTTCAAATCGGTAGTTGTGGAGCCTCCAACCCGAAGGCTCACTTCGTAAGCGGTGCACCGCTGCAACAAGTTGACACTCAGACGTACTTGGGTATGTGGACTACTTGTGCACTGAAACGAATGCTGAACTAAACGAAGGCGGTGAAGTCGACCGGGTCCACATTGCAAACGATTAGGCGAACCTTTATGGGGTTTGATAAAGACAGCCTTTCCAAAATATTGGGAAGTTTAATTCGGTCGCACCTAGAATTCACTATACGGGCATGAAGGCTGCGTACTGTCAAAGACTGTACCATCTTTGGGAAGGTCCAGAGGCGGGCGACAAAAATTATCGAAGGTCTGAGAACACTGCCTCATGAAACCAGACTGTCTACCCCCAACTTATTCCTCCTATTCTAGAGGCAACTACGAGGGGATCTTATATTAACCCTCCATATAATGGATGGTCTGGATTGCTGCTTTGTCTCTGATTATTTTTTTACTCAGGCTAACACGTCTACTTTGCATGGCTATCCTCCAAAAGTGCGCTTGGACAAAGCAAGTTTATACGCAAACTTTTCTTCAGTAACAGTGTAGTTGCAGTGTGGAAAGCTCTTCCCGGAGATGTTGTTCTCTCTACCTGTGTGAATACATTTAAGAGCAAACTGGACATGTATCAAGCATCTCATTCACCAACTCCACATTTGTCCATGTGACAGACTATCACTGCCTGTTTGTATACTACTGGTACGAAGTGAGTAACCATGCATGATTACTCTTTCAGCTAACCAACAGCTGCTCGCTTTTGAGCTGCAAATATGTAACAACCGCTTTTTCGAATGTCGCTATGTATCGACGCTTTT